TGAGCTTCTGCACCACCGGGTTGAATCGTGTACAGTCCTGCCTTTGCAGCAGGGCCGTCTTACCATGTTCTAAGGCCCCGACAGCTGGGAAGGCTCCTGTGGGTCGATCAGAGTGTACTTGGGCTGGGACACAGGATGCTTGGGTCTCAGCCTTTGTTCTGCCACACACTTGCAATGGGAGTCTGGTAAAGGCAATTTCTCTTTTAATCTGTACATTGGAATGTAATAATCTGAGCTCTGCTTGTCTCACTAGAATGAGGTAAAGCTCAAAACAGAAAATGAATACTTTCAAAGCCTTAGCTTTGAAAGGTAAAAGGGTTATTTTTTGGTCCCTCAAGTAAAAAGACTATTGTTATTATTAACAACTTCTGTTCACTCTTTCTCTGACCGTGCTGGGCAACAGAATGCACTGCATTTTAAGAAGTGACGCACAAAGACTGCTTTGTCCCTAGAGTAGCTTGGACTACCGGGGGGATCCGGGTCCTGGGCCAGGCCAGCTGCAAAGGGACAGGAGGAAATGGCTTCAAGGCTCAGGGACAGATAGACTTGAGCAGCCTGGCTGTGGGGGTCTGGGAGACTCTGCTTTGTGGGACCCTGGGACCTTTTCCTTGGCACCATTTAGGCTTCCAGCTGCTTCTGGTGCCCCCCCCCCGACTTTGGTCCTGTCCTCCGCTCCTAGACCCCAAGGCCCTCCCATGCTCATAGGCTAGTCGTCTGAGGGGCCAGAAAGGCCCACCACCCTCTTGGCCAGGGATGGCCAACTGAGGACCTTTGTAGCCCTTTGCCACTCCTACACGTTAGATGCACCTACACTCACATCAAGTGACATTTCTTTGCTGTTAGTTTTAATTTCCCAGTGATCACACCACACGTGGGAACTCTGGGGGAAGTGAGATGGCTAATCCACCCATGGTTTCCCAATACTTAGAAATTCTAGGTGTAACTACGATGGTGGTGTCAGACTGCATTTTTGCTTTGCAGCATTGTCCCACATTGGAATACCACGTTCACAGCCGTGAAAGTGACATACACTAGTAACGAATGAACATCATGCCCATGAGCTGAGGAAGCCAGACACAACAAGCGACATCCTGACTCCATTTACATAAAGGGCCAAACAGGCAAAATTACTGTATGGTGTTAGAAGTTTGGATTGTGGTGACCCTTGGGGAGTGGGGCTGTTTACAGGCACAGCCCTTCGGGTACTGGTAACATTTAGTTCTTGATCTGGGTGCTGGTTGCGCGGGGTGTTCAGGTAGCAAAGATTATTATAGAGTTTGTCTGTCTGCGCTGTTGTAATGCAAGCTTAACCATCCGACATTTCTTGATTTTGAATTTGTAATCTGAGCTCACATTTTGGAGCCAATACATGTTTTTCAGGTCTCAAGATATTTTCAGGGGCCCCAGACCCAGTGTATTAACAATCTCGGTCACAGACAGGCCACCACCTTCCTCCCCCTGGGCTGAGACCCAGGCTGTCCTCCCTAGACACCCCGACCATTACCAAATCGAGAGATGACCCAGAAAGTCAGGGCCATGGCTCTGTAGAGAGGCTGTGCCAGGCTCCACCCTCCCGAGCTGGGAAAAGCTCATCTTTAGACTTTCCCTCAGCTTCCTCAACATTCTCCACCCAGACGGCCCTGACATGCAATGACGGCCTACAGTGGTTGTGTCCAGACCACCGCTTGGAATTTACCACCTGTGTCTTAGGAAGTTCCGTGTGTGCGTCTTATCCTGTATGACCCTCTTGTGGCTGGGGCCCACCACCTCCTCTGCTTGTGTGATGCTCCAAGCACCTCACACAGGACGCAGGTAAGATATACTTTCGGTAAACATGGGATCCTCTTATGTCCTTGAAGTTCCTTTCCCTACAGGTGCTCTGCCTGGTGCATTCATAGGTGGGGTGCCTCTTCCCTCTCCAAACTCTGTGACACTGGGCATATTCGCTCCCTCCTTAAGTCTCACTTTACTTATTTGTCAGATTAGGGTATCAATGCTGGTGTCATGTAGCCACTGTGGGGCTCAGATGCGCTGACACGGAGCAGCTGCTTATGCGTGGTGGTGCCCGTCTCCCTCAGGTGGTGCTCAGGCCTAGCCTGGCGCAGGCTCAGTAAGGGGAGAGCCTGGAAGGGAGTGAGCAGCTCTTCTTTCCTCAACGGTACCCCCAAATAATCCACTGCTCAAAAAAGTTCACAGAAATGCCAGCAATTTATTGATTTCCTATATTTCCACAAAAGCAAATACATAGTGCATCACACAGGGAAACTGGGCCCGGCCAGCACAAGGTTCTTGTACAAACACGAGGCAAATGGAAGGCTGGGCTCCAGAGGGGTTCCAGGGTACCCACAGCATCAGCCCCGGGCTTCCCTCTGCTCATCTCCCCCCGCCCATCCCATCCTCCCAGCCCCCCTCACCCTGGCCGTCCCACCTTTCAGCCAGGTTCTGGGGTGGACAAGAGGGAACATCACTGTCTCCACACGTCTGGAGAAAACCCTTCACTGCATCACTAGGGGAAGCGTGGGGTCTGCAATGCTGATCTGACCCCCACTGGACAGGCTGCTGGTGGCCAATGACCAGATCTGTCTGAAGCATAAGAGATCCTGGGGTCAGGGCAGGGACAGGCAGAGACTGAGTGGTCTTTGTCCTTCCCCACTGGCCCCAAATTGGAATGTCTTGTTTAGGGTGTCAGCCCTGGTAGTGTGAGGCCAGTGTGGGCCTGGGCAAACCCCTTCCGCCCTGTCCTTGGGAGATGCCTCCTCAGGACTCTTCTCAGTGTTGCCCCTTCCAAAGGGACAGCCACGGGTCCAAGGCCCGGGTGACGGGCCCCGCTGGCGGGCTGGAGAAAGCACAAGAGAGGTTACAAAACCAGGCCTGGCCTAACTGTGCATCCAGCCCACCATTCCCCAAGGCAGAGGGCTGGGCCCACCTGGCTCTTCACCCCAGCTGGTGACAGAAATCCAGCAGAGAAGTGGCAGGAAGTCAGGACAGCACTAAGGGAAGGGGCACCTCCCTGGGGGTGAAGGGGTGAGAGCCACGGCCTCACTGGTAGTGGGCTATTTCTCTCTTGTCCTGACTGGATTGGACAATCCTCTCACACTGCGGGGGGGACCCCCAAAGCCAAGCACCCCGTGTCTCCGAGAATGTAAGCTGCATGAGGACGGGGCAGTGGTCTGTTTGGTTCACGGATGTATCCTGAGTGCTTACAACATGGCCTGGCATATCCTGGTGCTCCATACGTATTTTTTTTTTTTAAGAAATGAATTCCTCTGAGCCCTGGTGATCGGCAGAGGAGTCATCCTGGAACCTACACCCAGGACGGCCTGGTGGGACCACACTCCCACATGGCCCCTGAGAGAGGGGGAGTCAGGAACAGGCCTTCCATCATGAGCAACAAGGGGGGAGGGCATCACGGACCCACGGCAGTGGGGGACACTGATTAAATGGCCCATCATCACAGGGCTGGCCCCAGTCCGTCACATGTCTTAACAGGCACACCCTTCATCCAGAAGGGTATTTTTCGGTTCTGACTGCTGGGGTAAGAAGTGGGGTTGGACGGGGGGAGGGGGGTGGGGGGGAGGTAGAGCAGGGTGGGGGGCAGGGGGCCTGGGAGGAGAATGAGCAGGAATCAAGAGTGAGGAGCACCTCTTATTCTTCTACAGAAGCCTGTGCACCAGGCAGCCAGTTCCTAGCTGACACCAACAATGTCGGTGCGGGTGGCAGAGGCAGACATCAGGAAGCCTTGGGAACCCATGCTCTGCTCTATCTTACAGTGTATACTAAGGGCTATTTACAGCGAGCTTTTCCATGAGGCTCTCAGGAGGTCCTTCTACTTCCTGTCCTCTGAAATGCACAAGAGTCTGGGGTCTTGGGTGTGGCTGGTGCCCCTGACAAGCCTCTTATATCACATCCTCTGTGGTTTTCCCCAAGACAGAGTGGAGACAGGATGGCTGGTTTTCAGGGGAAGGTGGGGTCAGCCTCTGGCTGGGGCTGGAGCTGGGGCTGGGGCTGGGGCTTGTTGGTGCCCTGAAGTGACAGCTCCCTTTCCTGTTCTAGCCAAATTCCCGCCTTCCAAGTCTCCTGAGACCCAGAACCCTCCCTCTCTTGAGTCTTACCAGGGAAGTATCCTCCTGGTTAATTTCCAAATGGTCACTGTCCCACTGGGGCCCCAGCTGTTCCCCTCACCACTGGGAATGTGAAGACAAAACAGCCATTCCCCAAATAGCTCTTTGGCTTTGAGCACCATTTTGCCTTCTTTCTCCTGAAATAAATAGAAGACAAGCCCCTGAAGGCAGGCACTTTACAGGCTGAGCCTCCTCTGACGGGTATGCAGCCCAAGAGCATGGCCAGCCCCATCTCTCTGGCTCCTACACCCCAGAGCAGACTTCAGATAGCAAAGCAAGCGTGACTGTCCTTGCCCATCCCCTGGAGCCCCAACCCTGTCCAGCCCCAGGTCCTGTGGCCCTGCGGGAAGGGAGGCATGATCAGACAACTAAAGTTTCCCATGAGATACACTGAACGTCAGCAGCCCTGCCAGCCTCCCTTCCTGCAAAGCTGCCTCTTAAGGAGGTAGGTTGGCCCCAGCCCCAGTTACTCTCCCCTCCCACCACCCCCTACCCTCGCCCGGGAGATGGTTCCCTCGCAAGGCTTCTCGTGGACCTGACCCTGGTTGCGGGTCCCCTGCCCTGGCATGACACATTTTGGGAACTACAGGCAGCTAAACAAAAAGCACAGGTCGTGTAGGAAATGTGGGAGAGTGAGAGTCCTTTTTCCCACCTCATGAGGTGCAGAAACAGCTTACTTAGCTTTTTGCAGTTTGTGGTCATGCTTTTAGGCACTCATGCACAAGCAGGCGCGCACACACACACTTACATTATACATACATATATATATATACCATTTCTCAGCGAAAGAAGTATTGACATGAAACATAAGCCCCTTTAACTCAAGAAAAGTCCCCCCCCACCCTTCCCAACCCCCCTTGCCTGCCAGTTCCCCCAAAGAAAAAAAAATCTAAAAATATTTCCATCATCCACAGTTTTCAGGTTTGCTTTCAGTTGCATTTGAACTTTTCCAAACACTGCGCAGGGTGTGCAGAATCACCCCTCCAGCAAGGCCTGAGGTCTTCTCAGCTGGATCATATCATTTCTGGAAAAGGAGAGGTCATCCGGTTAGCATTTCTAGGGAGACACCCCCACACGAGGAGGTCTAGCCAATACTGCCCCCCCTTTCCACCCATGTCCGCACAGATGTGCCCCCTGGCGGGCGAGGTCATTCCGAGTTGCCCTTGACACATTTGTAGGTCACTCTTGCTGAGCCAGAAGCTTGTCAGCTTTGTCCCTTCCCCCAGGCCCACCCTGTTTGGCCAGCACGGTGCGCCGCACGGTGCTGAGGGTCCAGACTTCCCTCGTTGAGAAGCTATTGACTTTTGTCTTCTCTCTTTGTCCACCCTCATGTTGTTGAAGCTTTTCTGTCAGGAGAAGGTGTCTGACGTTTTATCTATCTTCACTTGGACCAGGGTTTCAGCCTCTCCCCCACCAGGACATTGGTATTGGCATGCTGGCAGATAACCAGGGTGCTAAGGAGCCCCCTTCAGCTCAGGAGACCCTGTCCTTGCCCCTGGCTCTTTGCAGATGGCTCCACACCAGGGCCACCTCTGGTGACCAGCCTGGGAAGGTTAATGTCACCTGCCTCAGAAACACTTTGGGTGCTTGTTTAATAACGCACTTTCCATTCCAACGCTCTGGAGTCAGATCTGCTGGGGTTGCGGCCGGGAGAGTGTGTTTTAGGAAGCGGCCCGGGTGATTCTACTGGAAGCTAAGGCTTGCAGGCCTTTGTCAGAGATACTGGTTCTGAGTTCTTGGTCCCTGGAATCATCAGCTAGAAATAAGCTTAGCCACATTAGGCATGTGCAAACTGGAAAGTGAATTACAGAAAGGATAAGAAAGTGAGCTGTAGGTGTGCAAACCCAGAATGACATATTGTATCACTGCGGCGGGGGGCGGGGAGGGGGCGAGGGCATTCATACCGTAGTCCATGTGAACGGCACCACCTAGGTTGTACAGTGCATAACCTACATAGCTGTACCTAGAAGTTCTGCCCAGACCTCTGGCCTGCTGATGCTATCAGGACACCGCCCATCCCTAATGTCCTGTGGCCAAGTAGCCTGTACAGCTGTCCTCACAGGCCTTGTGTCGGCCACGGCCGGGCCATCTGCCAGACTGAAGAATGCTTCTGTGCCCTGCGGAACACAGGCCTGGCCTCTCCCTCTGAGACCAACTGAGGCTGCTGCAGGGGTCCTGGATGTGCCTCTGCCCTGGGGGGGCCGATTCTTACCTGCAATCTGTACTTGCTTGGGCAGCCCCTTCTTAGAATCGGGAGGTGAAGTTCCTGAGGCTGTTGGGCCCGGCTAAGGTTCCCAGCATGTTCCTATCCAAGCCTTGCTGCAGGGGGAAGAAACAGCAGCTGCATGAAACACTCTAGGACGAAACAGCGTGGGACTTCCCACGGGGCCAGACACTGGCTTCCCAGAGTGGCCTTGGGCTTGTACCAGACACTGCCCTCCCGGAGTGGCCTCGGGCTTGAGCCATAGCCCTCTGGATTCATTACATGTGTGCGTCAGGAAATCAGTCAGGGCTAAACCTGGACTGATTAAATGCGCAACCAAACATAAGGCCGTGCATATGCCCGGGTTAGTCAAGCGTGTCTGGGCTTCCACCCGCGCTTCTGAATTTTCTATGTGGATCTGCAGAAATCTGAATTAAGGCATAAGGATTTAAGCTCATAGTCATTACTCTTTAAACAGAACAATAACCAAAGTCAGATTAGAAAAGCTGTTTGTTTTTCTTCCTTCTGACTGTCCCTGTTTTCTCTTTTCCCCAAATCTTGACAAGAGCTCTTGGCAGCGAGGACACATCCAGCGTTTCTCACATACCAGAGAGGCGCCTGGTGCCGGTACTGAGGAGCCGCCACGCTGTAGGCTCTGTTTACCTGTCTGCTCTCCCACCTGCAGCCCCACCAGCCCCTGAGCTCCTGCTGAGGAGTGACAGAATCTTGTTTCTGTTATTTCTCCCAGCATACTGCAGGTGCTCAATAAATGCTTTGGAGTGAATGGGGACAGCAGATGGGGCCTAGAGGCCCTTGAGAAGGGGTGCCTGGTGCCAGCTAAGAGCTCCGAGAATCTGTCAGCTCTCACTGGCCTGTGGGAACATGAGGGATCCAGACACCAGGTGGTTCAAAGCCCAAGGCCTGCTTGGTCTGGGCATGAATCACATGATGTTGGTTTTTCCACCACAGATTTGCTTGCTCGCTCCTGTTGAGCTTGGCTGGATTTGGTGGAAAGAGCCCAGGAGTGAGAATTCCTGGGTCCCAGCCCTGCTCTTGCCATGACTCACTGCATCAAGGCAAAGTCCTGTTCTTCAGGATGGACACAAGCCCCATGGCCTGCCTCATGGTGGTTGTAAGGACCCAGTGGGCGGTGTGTGTGCGGGTGCTCTGGGGACAGAAACATGGCCCTCGTCACGTCGAAGCTGCCATCAAGCAGGGCTAGAGGGAGCAATGGGGACCGGATGGCGAAGCTGGTTCCCACGGGTGCTGTACAGAACAATGTTAACAAGGGGACTCTCTGGGTGCCTTGGGGGGATGTGGTATCAGTATTTCTGGGTGAGCTGAACCTTCTGGACCACTATGGAACAGCTTGAGGAAGTTCTCACCCAGTCTCTTCACCTACCTCCCTTCCACGGAGTCTCCCCTGCAGCTGCCCCGTGGCCAAGCCTGCCCACACTGTGGTTTTGCTGGGAAAGAGCACTGGACTGTCCACTAGAGGACATGGGCCACCACTGGCCATGGCCTTCAGCCTTCCCCAGTCGACCTTGACTGCCATGGTCCCTCCTGTCGCCCTGCTGTGCTGGAGGAAGAATTGTTCCTCCTTCCGCCCCCGGGCGGCTGTCTTCCCATCTCCTCTCCTACCCGATCAGGCCACTCCTGACCCTGAGCCCCGCTCCGTTCTGCGGTCTTCCTCATCCTCCCGCGCCTTCACCTTCCCCTGCTCTGCTCACTCCTCGTCTCACGACAGAGATGCTTGGGTCCCCTCCGTCATTAAACAGGGGTCTTTTTACTCATGCCTTTGTCTCCCTCCTTTCTGGGCCACACTGGTTCTCCCCTCTGCCCCACTCCGCCCCCTCCCCGTCCCTCCTCGCCCACGGCAGGGGCCCCAAGGGCTCCCCTTGCTTTGCCAGCAGTGCTCTTGCAGGTGGCCTGGGACTTCTGGATCGCCTCATCCGGGGGCCTCCTTGGCTTCCGTCCTCCCTGCTGCCTTGGTAGCCCCGGGGACTGCCGCCTACCCGCTCCCGTGCTTTGTCCTCCCACACGGGCTGCAGCTGCCTCCTGGCTCCCTGGCCCTTTGCTCTCCTTGGCCCCCAGCTGAGGATCTTCTCCATGCTTCTGCCTTTACCCTCCAAGACTCTCCCACACACCTGTGCCCCATGGTGGTCCTGCCTGCTCTCGGGGCTTCTACTTGCCCAGTGTCCCCGTGGGAAACACCTGTGTGGCAGCCCGGCCTCTCTCCTCAGGTCCCACACCCGCGATCCAATCCCCTCAGACTGGACCTCCTGAAATCGGGACTGCTCTCCCTCTCCCTACAAGGCCTACCTGGCCTCTCCCCAACCGATCTATTTCTGCTAATGTGGCCGCAGTGTCTCCAGGCTTGCACTGGAGCATGGTCAGTCTGCCCAGTCTGTTTCTTCCACGTTCTGTCGTTGTTCAGGCCTCATCACTGCTGACATCTCTGTCTAACGAACAGCGGCCGCAGGAGCGGGAGAGGCCAGTGTGGGGAGGTTTGGTAAACTGAGACCTGGGGTAGGACTTTGTGTGTGACGAGGTTGAGAGGCGCTGAGGACAGAGAGGAGCCAGGGTCGCCACTTGACAGATGAGGCTGCCCCTGCACCTCTCAGTTCCCTGGGCCCCGCCACTGTATCCAAGTATTGCTTTAATCATGACACTCTCTACCTAAAACCCTCAATGGCTCCCCTGTGCCAAGGGCAAACTCTCACAGAGATTAAAGGGGTTTGTAATCTAGCCCAAACCTACCTCTGAAGCCACAGAGCACATCACACCCTCAAATGAATTCTGTGCCTTTTGCCCACCTCGCTTTTCAGTTTGTTCCTAAAGGATCCCACCCCAGGCCTCTCACACATTACCTTGATTCCCTCTGCCCTTCATGCACTCGGCACCTCCCCAGAATTCTAGCCGAGAGATTTGCTCATAGTGTGATCACGTTCATTGTCACGCACATTGGTCTCTCAGCTCTGACTCTGTCTGGAGTGCGGCTCAGTCCCCGCCATGGGGTGGGGTGGGCCATTCTGCTTCTCTTTTCTTGCCCCACTCAGACTTGATTCTGTGCAGGGGACATGCAGGAGAGCCTCATGGGCAGGGGTCAACAGTGCGGGCCCTTACCTGCCTGAGGACGCCCTGCAGTTCCTTGCTGGACCACATGTCAGACAGGAGGAGGCGGGCAGCTTCTGCAGCCTTGGGTGAGGCACTGGGCGGGCAGGAAGTTCATTTGTGGGGTGAGTCTCGGGGAGGCATGAGAATGAGCACCCTCCTCCCTCCTCCCCTCACCTCGGGTCTTAGAGATGTGGGGAGGCCCCAGGGGTGCATGAGAGAGGAGCCCCATCGGGCTGGTCACTCTGCGCAGTAGGCATGACCCCACAGCCCTGCCCACTCAGAAGTGTCCTAGGATTCTCCGTGGGGGCTGTGAGGGGGAAGGTCGCCTAGCCCTTGTTCTGGGAGGAGAAAGCCCCATGGAGCAGAATAAAGTTCCCGCACAGCGGGGTCTGCTGCTCCATGCCTCCTGCTGACCCTCTGAGGACCCAGTGTCCCCTGGTGATCCACAGCGGAGAATGCACTGCCGCTGCCCCGTTTGTGCAGCCTGAGGGCCTGGCTGCTGGATTCAGCCCTACAGTGCTCTTGGCTTCTGGAACTTCTCTGCATCCAGGCCTCTCCTGCCCTGGCTCTCTCTGTACTGGGTCCTGCTCCCGCCGCACCTCTGAGACTTCGCAGGGAGTCGTGCTTTGCACGGGGTGGGGGTGAGGCGGTGTGGGGGTGGGGTGGGGAGGAGACCGCCCGCTTCCCCACCTACCTGCTACGGCACAGGTTGATGACGTTGTTGACCATGCTGCTGGTGAAGTACTGCTTGGCCATCTGCGGCTGGGAGGCCATCAGGTTCCTCACAGTGTAGCAGGCCGAGGACAGGATGTCTTCCGAGTTGCTGGTGTTCCCAGTGTGACTGGTGAGGAGCCTGGTCACTTCTGGGAATACTTGGTTCCCTGAGAGAGAAAGGAGTGGATGGCACAGGCTCAGAGGACCGAGGGAGAGAGGGGCTGAGGGGCTTCCTCTGGGGCCATAGTCCCGGACTGCCCTCAACCAGGTTCCTAGACAGGTGACGCCTCAAGGCTCCATTCTAGCTCTAACTCAGGGCTTGGGACCCAGATGGGACCTCTGCATACCTGCCCCCCATCTCCAGGAGACCTGCCCCTTCCTACCCCCAAGTTTCTCTTGGGCCAGCTTCCCCTCTTGGAATGCTCACCCTTTAGAGGGGGACCTTCCAGCAGGCTCTGGAAAGTGGGGGGGTCTGCCAAGTCCTAGCTGGAGGCCCGGGGCAGAGGGGTGGTCTGACGCTGTGGAGGGTGCTTACCCATCGCTCGGTGCAGCACAGGGTGGCGGGACATGTTGCTCAGGAGGGAGGCTCCTGACCGCACCACATCAGAGTTGCCAGATTGCAGGAGGCGAGCAATTTGTGGCAAGCCCTTTTCCTTGAGCCCGATCAATTGGCTCATGCCGCTGGACATCTGAGAAAGAAGGCCCAGTGAGGACCTAGCCTGTGGCTTCACAGGCACCGTGGTGGAAGCGGGCCAGGTAATCCCAAAAGAAGAGTCCCAAATACCGTTTCTCTTTCGCATTGGAAGCACGGACGAAGAGCGACACAAATTTACTCATGCGCCAGCAACGAACCAAGCACCCAGGCGAAAATGCACCCCCAACTCTCCTGACCTTGATCTCTACTCCCGGATCAGCCTGGAGCCCAGATGGGTGATGAGAGGGAAGTCTCAGACCCCTCGCTCATGGGGGCCCTGAATCGACTCCTGGTCTAACAAAATGGTCAGATGCCACTGCTCAGCTATTGGTCTCAGCTCTGCCTTCCTTACACGTCCCCGCAGTCTGCTCACGTGGAACCTTACGGTCAGTGATATTTGTCGATGCAAGAAGCACTGACCACCTTCCAACTTCCCTACCTCCGGAGTACTCAACACATATTTGTTGGGTACTTGCCCAGGACAAAGATGGGTAAGAGAGGGTCCGTGCCCACAAGGAGACACAGTCCAGGGCCCCGTAGAAGTAGGCCAGCTCTAGCAACAAAGCCATCCGAGCTATAATCTGGTCCCAGGCTGGTCTGGAGTTCTTAAAGACCCCCAGCCTCATCCTCTCACGGTCAAGAAAGTTCCTTCCTTACCTCAATTCACCCTGGTCCTGCTTCCAGCTGATTCTCTTTTGTCCCAAGGAAAGATGAGGGGTTGTTGACTGCCTCCCCATCTAAATGCTCGTTGATTACAGCAGGCCTCCTATGGCTCAATGCCATTCCATCATGTCCGCCAAACTATATTTGGCCTCAAAATCTCTACTGATCCTGCCACATCTTCCTCTAGATCTGCCCACACGCCAAACCCTCTATTTTTCCCTCCATCAGTTCAACAGACAGGAGACTCCACCTGCCACAAACAAACTTCATCTCTGTCCCCCACCCCAGACAGGGCCGGCATGGGGCCAAGAATCACAAGGCAAAGGGGACTCTGTGGGCACAGACAGAAACCAGCAGAAGTGGGTTTGCCGAGCCGCCGCCTGGGAGTTCCCAGAGGGCTGGGCTAGTTCTCTTCCCTCACTGCTCCGCCATATCACACAGGACACTGCCTCTAGTCATGTCTGTAGAACGGAGCTCCACAGGCCATAGGTGTTTGCTAGGACTCAGACTGTGGACACACTCGCGGGAGAACAGGGAAGGGAACAGAGCCTGGCTTCAAGTTGGAGAAATGGGGGTGGGCACAGGGGAGGAGGCCACTCCTCACCAGCCCCTTGCTGGCGGTCAGGTTCTGCAGGGCACCAGCGCAGGCCTCCAAGGTGGCGTCTTTCTTGCTCTTGCTCATGAGGTTCAGGTAGGTGCGGATGGCATCTGAATGGTACAGCCAGCTGCTGCCCTTGGGGTTGCTCTCTTCCTCCGGAAGGGGGCAGTCGTAGTTGTTGTTCTGAGGACAAAGTGCAGGTCAGCAGGGAGCCTTGGGAAGGGACCGAACCCAAGCCTTCTGCGTGCCCCCCAACTCCAGGGTCCTGGTTCCTGATGGGAGGGGCCTAGGAAGCACCTGCCCCAGTGCCCCTTTCCTCACTATGGCAGCTCCACAGAATTGAGTGAGGGCAGGGGCCATGGTCCTCCTCCATGGTCTCTGAGGGAGGCAGAGAACAATCTCGGGATCCTGGGAAGGGTGCTGCAGGCCAGCCTCTGCCCAAACCTTCCAGCGGCTTTTGGGTCTCACACCATGATGTGTCCCCTCCCAGAGTCAGACTCTGAGCTTGACCCACCCTGGGCCAACGGGCCATTGTACCCAGCGCGGGAGGCCTGGCCCTCCCTCCACAGCACCCTCCTGTTTCTGCGGGGACCTGGGAGGCTTGGGAGCTGGTGGGAACCAGGCCAGAGAGGGCTTAGAGTCCTGGCTACCCCCAAACCTTCCCGGGTAGTGGAGAAGATGGGGCCGAGTTTATCACTCACACAGTAAAAGAGGACAAGCTCTGCCAACGGAGGGCTGAGGCTTTTGACCTCTGGGCGGTCTGAGCTCCTCCAGTCTCAAGAACACAGATCCCCTCTGTATGCAAGACAGAATGCCCTGTACTCGGCTCCCAGAGTGCGGCCCCAGCCCGAGGCCAAGGCTTTGGCCCGCGCTTGGCCTCTCGGGCTGGTTTCAGGCTTCAGGGCGGTGGTGGGGGGGGGGGACAGAGGGGGAAGGGTGGGCCAGGCCGCTGAGCCCAGCAGGGTGCCTGGTGGCGTCCGCGCTCACCATCATCTTGGTGCTCTTGTTGCTGAAGCAGCCCGTGGAGGACTTCTCAGTGTAGGCGTTGCGCGCATTGTACTCCAGCTGGCGGTAGTGGGTGGGCACCTCGGCGTCCAGGCGGTAGGAGAGGTTGTGCAGGATACACATGCAGTTCTCCACGGACTGGGGGCCAAGCAGAAGCGTGGCACCTGAGCCCGGGCCCCGCCCTGATGGCGTCCCGGGCCCCGTCCCTGCCCTTAGCTCCTGAGGAAGAGGCAGGTCCCTCAGCTCCTCCAGGACAGATGAACACGGGCTCTCCCGGTCACGCTTCCCGGAGCCTGGACTGGAATCCAGTTCTCTCATTTCCTAGCTGCGTGACCTTGAGTGGCTTGCTTTACCTTCGGGGCCCCGGCTTTCTCAGTCGTAAAATGGGACTGAGGTCACCGACTTCATTGGGCTACTGGGAAGAGGCTACTTGGAAGTGCCCGTCATGGGGCCCCGCACATAGCAGGACACGCGGACAGCGGCCACCGCTTCTACTGCGACAGCAACTGTCCAGCGGTCGGACTGGGCTACTGAAGCGCACACCTCTGTCCTGGCACATTCTCCTTCAGGAGCAGCCTTGGTTCAAAAGCCATTGAAGCCCCATGCCCCTGTGATTCCCCCTTTTCATGGCTGGCTGGTCCTCAACTTCCAATAGCAGGGGTGCTGACCTATCCCAAGTCCACACGGGCAGCAAGACCCAGGACCTGGGATTTTGCCACGGCAGCTTCTCCTAAGCCTTTGCCATTTGTCCTCCGTGGACAGGCTGGGGTTTGGGCCAGCAGACTGACCGTCTGAATGATGTCAGCCCTGCTAGGGTTTGAGGGACTCAGAGTCTTAGGGCCTGGGCTATACAGGTAGAGGGGATGCTGCATCCAGAGCAGAAAAAATATGATGCCCCCTGGGACCTGGCTGAGGATCCGAGGGACCGTCTCTCTCCTGAGGCCCTGTTGTCACATCCAGTGGAGGAGGGGGAGACAAAATCTCTCCACGGGAAACTGTGTGCAGGACCCAGTACCCGTGGTGCCCAGACAGTCCCCCGGTCATCTAGGGACAGTGGGAACTCACTATTCTCCCGAGTTGCTGTCCTGCCGTGATGGAAACATCTCAGCCTTCAGTTTCTCTTCCCTCCGTGATTTTTCCTGTCTGTCTGTGTGCTAGTGGGTCCCAAAGCCCAGAGGGGACAGGAGGCGGCTTGGCCAGTGGCCTCATTGGGACGAAGTGGGAAGCCAGTGCAGCAGAAGGAGCCTTGGTGCAGGGAGGACCCCCAGGGGCATGAGTGCGGCCCCTCAGGGCTGCAGGCGGGGCTCGGCACCGGCGACAGCAACTGCTCACGGAGAGTTCACTCGGTGCCGGGCCCGCTTCGTGTCTTGCTTATGAACTAATTGAGCCCTTAAACTAACCCAGGAGGCAGATTAGGATTATGATCATTTCTGTTGGAGCAAAGTGCAAACTGAGGAACAGAGACATCATGGAAGTGTCCGCATTCACACAGCCTCTAAGTGAGGGACAGGGGACCTGCCTCTGTAGCCACTGTCCCCGGCGAGCAGAGCACTCTGCAGACAGCTGTCCCCTTCACTGGCCGGTCTCTGGGCATCTGTCCTGTCACTGGACCATGCCTTAAAGGCCCCTCGAGTGCAGACCTGCCTTGTGGAGCCTGGGAGAGGAAAATGTCAGGACCTAGAGTCCAAGGAGCCGCCCTCACTGATTCTGGGGAGGCCCTGGGCCTTGGAGCGCTGGACAGAGAGGAGGACGGGGGTCCAGGGCCGGGGTGGGGTGCCGCCTGGGTGCGCTCACCTTGTCATCACAGCGGCTGGCCGCCACGCAGTTCTGGACATAGGCCATAAGGGAATCAATGAGTCCCGTGTAGTTTCGCATGGTCTGGCGGCCTGCATCGGCAGAGCTCAGGTTCCTGAGGGAGAAAACAGAGAAGGGGTGAGGAGGCGGGGGAGGGGGGGGCGGAGAAGAGAGGGGTTGGGGGGCACGCAGGGGAGAGTAGGTGGGGGCGGAGGGGAGGGGGGATGAGGTTGGAGGTTTGATAGGATGAGAGCAGGGCAAACGAAATGAGGAAGAAGGAAGGAAAAGACCATTCAGCCAATTCTGCCCCATTCTGGCTGAGGTTGGATGGGCTCTCATTTGAACTCAGCTCTTTCCACCCCTCTTGCGGCCCACCTGTAACTTTTATGAAGGTCAAAGCCTCCAGTGCGGCTAGCAGACCAAGACACATGCCCTACCACTAAGGGGCACCTGTTGAATGGGGGCTGGAAGCTTCGCCTGCCCAGTTTTTCTTCTGTGGGACAGGAGAAGCTCTGTGGGGTGCTGGGGCCAGGGGCTGGATCTGGGAAAAGAGCTGATGGGTGCTTGACTGGGGGGCCAGATGCCCCCTTTCCGTGGAAGCTGTGTTCTGCCCCAGCAGTGGGCTCCTTCCCAAGCATCCTGGGCCTGTTTGCGTGGTGTAGGCCAAGTGTGGCCGCTGGTGTCCCCAACAGCCCTGCAGCCCCATCAAGTCCTCAACACCCTGGCTTTGCTCACTGGGGGCCACTGATGGAGGCTGAAAGGGAGGAGCACAAGCTGAGACAGAAGCTCACGCCACCTGCACCCCTCACTCTGGGGCTCCCAGGAATTGGAGAAGACAAACCCCATCAGAGCAAGGCATGACCCTAAAGGGGATCCATTCCACTGCTTCACCTCCATACCAGCACCCACAACCCAGCTTGCAATCTGTCTCCTAGAATGAGCATGCCCACGTCCCTCCTCCAACAGCCCCCAGGGGCCCTGCTTCATGCTGGTGTGGGACTCACGAGACTTTGGGCAGAGCTGTGCCATCTTCATGCCAATGAATATGGCAATTGGTGTTAGCATCATAGCTGCGAAGTGACTCACTAGGAGCCAATCAGCAAATTTTTGTCCAAAAGAACACACTTCAAGATAGTACAAAAAATGCATTTTTGGGAAATGGAAGAGAGGGAAATGGTTGAACCAGTTTGAATATTCAGATCTGGCATTTCCACTCTTAGATTTCTAAGTTTGCTGTGGTCCCTTAAAGGAGGTCATGGAGTCCTGATCCTTATCTGGATCTGGGGATGTCAGGAGTGCTGGGGCCCCGTTTCCTGGAGTCTACCCATGAAGACCAGTGCCAGCCAGACTGCATTTTATGTTCTCCGCCCTGGCTGAGTCCTGCCCGAGATCGGGCTGCCTGGGCAAAGGCCCAGGTCTGGGGCCAAAAGACCCCACGGGCGGGCTCTTCTCTCACCTCAGGCAGCCTGTGGCATTGAAGAAGACTTCAGGGTCCACCATTTCCCGGGTCATGTTGCTGTTGCCATCACACCAGCCGGAGAAGGGAATGATGACCCGGTCGGCCAGCACAGGCAGGGCATCCACGATGAGCTCCTCCTTCAGCTCATCAGTGGAGGACAGGTTCCAGAGCAGCCCTGGAGGTTGGGGACCGTCAACTCAACACATACCAGGCTCAGGAAGACCCCAGGCAATGGCGTGCCACCCCCAGCCTGCTCTGGCAAACGAGCCCTACTGGAACGTCACTTTCCAAGTAGGCCTGGGTTATTCAGTCTAGCGTCTGATTGTTTCCTGAGCCCGCTTCCCAGTGTCTCAACGAGGTTCTTTGAGGGCAGGGAGCATCTAGAATTCTTTATCTAGGCCAAAATTATGAATATGGAAGGCGATCGAGAAACATTTGATTGTTCTGTGGTTTTTGATGTAAATGTTAGCACTCAGAGTCTTGCGATGTTCTCTATTTTCCACCTGAGAGTCAGTCCAGAAGTACTGATCATGGTTACTCTGTGCATGGTCTCATCTTCCCAGTCCAGTCTGAGGGTTTCATAGTTCCTTCTGTTTCTTGTGTCCTCGGCCCAAGTGCTTAGCATATTGTTTGGGCACAGGAAGGTGCTTAAGATCTATTAATCCCTGCTCTCATTGACCTCCCTTCCTCCCCTTCACCTGTAGATCCCAGGCTCTGCTGAATATGGATCCTGCCTGGACACCAGCCTTCTACTCTTTGCCTTCTGTCTTCAGAAGACCTTGATTCAGGTGGCTCAGTCGCTTAAGCATCCGACTCTTGGTTTCAGCTCAGGTCATGATCTCAGTCTCATGAGACAGAGCCCCACGTTGAGCCTAGAGTCGGGCTCTTCGATCAGTGGGGAGTTTGCCTGAGATTCTCTCTCTCCCTCTGCTCCTCCCCCCCCTCATTCTCTCTCTCTCTCAAATAAATAAATAAATCTTAAAAAAAAAAAAGACTTTGACCCCTTGTGGGTATGCACCGTCTGGACACCACTAATCTGGCTAAGGCCAGTGCCATGGGCGCGCCCAAGATCCTAGCCTGAGGTCAAATCTGCACGGTTGTGCTTTGACCCAGCCTGGAGGGGCTGCCCCACACCCCGTCTTGGGACTGCAGCCAGCAGTCTTGCCCACCCCCGACCCCTAGCCCTCCACGGCTGGCGCTCCCTACCGGTTAGTTGTTTCTGGATCTCAGTACTCCCAGTTCTCCTCAGGAGGCTGACGGCCTCTCGGATCCCATTCTGCCTCCGGGTCTCCAGCTTGTTGGCGACGCTCCGGAACACCAGGTTACGCAGGGCCCCGGCCGCGGCCTGCTGGACGTTCTGGTTGGGGCTCCGGAGCAGGTCCACCAGCTTGCAGATGCCTCCCAGCTGATAGACCTGTTGGGATAGGGGGGGCCGCCTTGCCCAGTCAGGAAGGTGAGGCTGATCTAGTGACTCTACTCAAAGCGATTTTCTCAGACCCAAAAGTCTACTGCCAGTTCCAAAATATTCAAGCCAACCAGAATAAATAAGCAGTGTGGAGTCACAGCAACCAGATCAGGAACCAAGACGGATTCAGATGCTAGCCCCCCCACGTCCCCGCCAGGAGAGGCATCCCCCTGTTCTGAGCCCCACTTTGCTCCTCTGGAATACGGCAGTGAGGACCGGAGGAGGAAATGTATATAAATACACTTCAAAATCCCAAAGCAAGACAGACGTAAGGGAGACCCTCCCACGGGAACTCTTTCTCCTGTGGCAGGAACTTTGATGCCGATGGATCGTGGAATCTCTAGGAAACCTGTTTAGGGCACCACACTTTAGGGCTGAGCTGCTGAGCCCTATAGGCATCCTTCCCAACAGCCGAGCTCAGGAGGCATGAACAAGCCCTGTTTCCCACCATGGATGCTTGGTGAGAAAGAGGATCAAGAAACAGAGAGGCAGAGAGGCCGAGACAGACAGACAGAGGGAAAGGGCCTGGGGAAGGGAACTGAAGGGTAGAGAATAGTCACATTCTCTGGTGGCATCTAAGAAAGGGGATTTCTGTTGAACCCATGGCTGTTTCTTCCATGTGACCAGTGGGGGAGACACGCCTGACTAATGTCCACTCAACTAGAGGGTTAAGATCCCCAGCTGTGATCTTAGGCAATGCCAAGCACACTCCTTGCCCCAGGCAGCCAGGCAGGGTGAGAAGGAGCAAATGCAAATGCCCCCACCCATCTCTAAATGGGGTCAGGCTGACACACACCCATTCCCTGCCCAGGCCTTCAGGGGGAGAAGGTGTGCAGCCAGTTACCTGTTGTTTGGCCGATTCATCCTGGAAGCAGGTATGCTGGATGTAATAGGCCCCAATGGCCTGGTACTTCTCATCCTGGGAGCTCAGGTACTGCACAGCCTTAGGGATAGTCAACCCACTGCACTCGATATCCTCGCTGCAGATCCTGCGGGCAATGGGCAGTGGGGTGGGTTCCAGGGTAGGCTAGGAGCCCCGGGGCCAGGGGCTCAGAAACCCCCCTGTATGCCCAAGCTGCCACAGCCTATCCATCCATCCATCCATCCATCCATCCATCCATCCATCCATCCATCTTCCCTCCCTCCTGTCTCTATACAACCATCAATGCCTCCATCTCTCCCAAAGTCCAGCTAATTCTTCTCATATAAAAATTCTCACATCTGCTCCTTCCAACCCTCACGGGCACTGCCTTCCTTCTGACCATGATCACTCTCACTGGGACTACAGCAAGAGATCCCCACAATTGGGTCTCTCCTCCAGGCTCCCCTTTTCAAAATTTTCCTCCCTTTTCCCAGACTAGCAGTCCTAACACCTGGTTCACTGTACTGTTCCCATCAGTGGCTTCTCCATCCTGCAGGTTCAAGTGCAGACTGCTTAGACTAATATCCAAGGGCACATGTTAAGTTGGACCACATGAAATGGCTGATAGTCAACTTTTCTGAGCCACAAAACTAAACATTTTATGTTTCAACCTCGGTTTGGCTCTGCTATTCCCTCTTGCACACGCCCCAGCCCCTCACAAGGTCTGCTCCAGCGAGACTCTTCTCTCCACTGAGCATCCATGTGGCTCTCAGATGTGGCTGTGTCCCCTCCCCTCACAACACAGGAGCCTCGCTGAAGCCCCGCTTCCCTGAACATTCCAGCGAAAGGATACCTTTCCACCTGTCTGTGTCCTGCTTCCCAACAGAGACGGAGAGTTCCCGGGGGGCAGGGGCGGCCCCTTCTGTGGTACCCAGCCCCACCCCACTAGGGATCTCCTCGGTGTTTGTACTGGCCTCAGTTTTCTTCTCCTCATGTGTGCTGCCTCAGTCCTGCCATAAGTATTCGTGGGTCTAGTGAGGCGTCCTAACTCCATTTCGGGAAAAATCACCCAATGGGCAGAACTCTCTGGTCTTGTATCAGTAGCACTCCTGCCCTGCATTGAGCAAATGTCACATTTGCCAGTCAAACATCATCTCTAAATGGCTTGTCATACATCCCCTTCCCTGTCTTGCCTAGACCTTGTCCTCTCAGAGCCTCTGGTTTGGGGCGATGAGCCAGGGCTAGATGCTGCCCCGATCCCTGCTCCACAGGAGAGGGTTTCTTAGTCCTTCTCCAAATCATCCTAAATACACCTTATGGCCTTTGAAGTAATTAGGAGAGGTTCAGCTTTACAGTGGGGTTCAGCTTATTATCAAAACAGTGCGACAGAGTGGGGAAGAGTACAGGATGCTGCATCAGCTGTGTGACCCTGGGCAAGTGAGTTAACATCTCTGTGCCTTGTTTCCTCCTCAGGAGTTCTAGCACCTGCCTAGAAGGGGCTATGAGGTTTAGAGATGAAGACTGCAGAGCTCCTGGAGCTCTAGGAAAAACGGTTTATCAGTTAATTGTGTGGCTCTAAGATGGCTCTGGGCTGTTCTGTTTCTGGCTGTGTCCCCTAGCCTTACCATACATCCTGGAACATAGTAGATGCTTAGTAAATGCTTGTCAAATCAATGAATAAATGATCATTAGGTAGTGATAAGGAACAGTTTGGAGGTCTATGGAGCTCTGAGTCCTGGAGGGCAGGCCCAATGTCCCCTAGGACACTGTCCCATCCCCAAGCCACCTTGTGCCTGTGGCTCTTTACAGGACACCCCACTTCATCTCCTTCATTCTCACTGGGCCTTCAGTGTCGAGGGACGAGAGATGTACTCTGTTCTTCAGCACTAGATCCAGTTCCTCAATTTTGATGTCTGACCGTCCTGGTTGTCTGTTGTCCTATCAGGTGGAACATGGCCCCCTTGCCCATCATCCACATCAGGGCACACTCCTTTGCTCTTTCAGAACATGGATAGAGATTTGCATGCCTAAGATCACAGACTCTCGGTCCCCTGGGGGGCTTGTTAATACACACACGTTGCCGGGCCTCTCCCTGAGTTTCTGAGTCAGTAGGTTTGGGCGCAACCCGAAAGTGTTCCAGGTGATGCTGCCGCTTGCTGTTTGGAGACACACAGTTGGAGCACCACTGGCCTAGCTAACCCTCTCTAGTTAGCCTCCTCTGTTCATACCCTGTGACCCTTTAGAGCCGACATACCCCATGCGTTTTGTTAATGTCTGGGTTCTGTCTCCCCCTTCATACTGAGGACTGCCCAAGGTCAGGAACGCTCCCCCTGCAGGGACAAGGAACCCCTGGGGACCAAGGTGGTCCTTCCTACCATCAGCAGCTCCCTCGCAGCGTGCAGCCCCGCTGACAGTCTGCCTCTACCCTGGCCCCCGCCCTGGCCCCCCGCCCAGCCTGGCGGCACTTACTTGGAGCTGGCCCTCGAGTGGCCAAAGGACAGGTCCTTGTTGCAGGACATGGGCGGGACGTACACGGGGTCCTGTTTGGAGGTGCAGGAGGGCGGGCGCACGGGGCACTTCTTGACTGCCTTCTGGCCGCTGCAGGTGCTGTAGAAGCTGTAGCGGTTCTGGGTGGTCTTCTGGCCCCTGTTGCTCAGCGTGCCCTTGCGCAGGGTGCCCCGAGGGTCACAGTAGAGGTCAGGCTCGCTGCGGCTTGCCTTGATCTTCTGCATGAAGCAGATGTCACTGCCTGCGCCGGTTGTGGGACAGGGGCCCCGTGGGTAGTGCCGGCTCCAGTTCTCCATCTGGCTGTAGGAACTGAAGCGCTTGTTGTCATTCTCCCGCTTGAGGGTCCCGTTGTAGATCTGGGCAGAGGAAGGAAGGCGGGCTCAGTGGAGGTTCCTGACCGGCGATTCTGGATCCAGCTGGCCAAGAGACCCTGACCTCCCCCGGCCTCTGTAGTAACTAGTTCATGGAATCCCAGAATGTTCGGAGTGGAAGGCATCTTGGCCATCATCTGATATATTATTTTTTCAAACTGCAGGTTGTGACCCATTATGGATTATGAAATCCATTTAGCTGATTTGTGATTCTCATTTTAAAAAATAGGACAGCATGGTAGATGCTGGGATGTAAGCCTCAGAGTGCAAGGCTGGCTGCAGAGACACATGTTGTGTTGTGGGCTGGGCTGGGCTGCGCTGGAGAACACGTTTCTTACTGGGGGGGGGGGCGTGGGTAGCCATTCATCCAGTCCTACGTGAATGGCCCTGGCCAGGTGGGGAGTCGTAGGCCCAGAGAAGACAGGGGACTTCCAACTCAGGAGGGAAGGGCAACGCTGGACCTGTGCGCGTGCCCCCAAGTCCTTGCCCTGTCACCCCATGAAATTCTCAGACACTGGCAGCTTCCAACACAGCCAGCCTTCCTTGGCCACTTGTACTCAGCGTGGGCAAAATGTCTCCTTTTCTGGCCAGGACTGTTTTCCACTATTATTTCCACATAATAGTGGAACTCCTCATGTGGCCTCCCCTCTGCCAGGGTAAGAAGCAAATGGTAAGATCCCCTTCCAGGGGAACCCCTTACAGGCCAAAGGGGGAAAATACTTCTGCTCCTGGGCCTTCTTTGACAAGAGCACCTACACACATGAAGGCAGGCCCAGGGGCTTAGGGTGGGGTGCAAGGGGCCTCCTGGGCTTTTTGTCAGGCTTGCAGGAGGGAGAGGTTGGGCAGAGGCTCAGTCCGACAAGAAAACATACCGTAATGAGGCGCCCCCTGCCAGGGCTCTGTGTGAGCTCACCTGGGGATGCAGCCTCCCTGGTTAAGAGCCTAAAAAGCTGGAGATTTGGTGGGAATGAGCTCGGGACAGATCTGTTGAAGGGGGACTTTCCCAGGAGCTCACAGGCTGGTGGTAGGCCTGCTTGCTTTGACTTGTCCTCAGACTAGAGGGTAACACTGAGCCTGTGGAGATAAAGTGTCTCCACATAGGTGCTGACTTGGATCTCACCTTTGCTAGGATGAGCCAGGGCCAAGCCTAGCAGCCCAGAGCCTGCCCGCCCCACCCCATGAGTGTGTGTGTGTGTGTGTGTGTGTGTGTGTGTGTGTGTGTGTGTGTAGGGGAGGTGGTTAGACAACTGGGCTATTCTCCTCCACACCACATCTAGCCACACAAGTCTGGGGAGGGGCTTTCTCTTGGCCAGTTCCCTTTCATCTTAGCAGGAAACCACCATGGGTCAAGGTTCCAGTCAGAAGTGGCATCCAAAAGTCAGAAGCTACAAACTGTTAACCTTGACAATGGCGCTCTCATCTCCTCCACCCACATGCTCAGCTGGGCACCCAGGTGGGCATAATTTTCTTCCCCAAACTGGGTCAAACCAACCTACCCCAAAGGGAACAGGTGTGTGGGTGTCTGGGGAGGCATAAATGAGCAAATAAGAGGCAGAGGGAATCTGGAATGTGCACTTTGCACAAAATATGCAATTAGGCCTCCCCTGCTTTAGGCCAGTGGCCACACCCCTCACCCCTCCATCCTCCCAGGGCGGGGAAGGTGACGATAGCACTTCAGAGGGCAGGCTGAGCACTCCCATGTGGCAGGCTGAGCCTTAAATGGAAATGCAATAAGGAACTCTCTTGTTCTCAGTAAATGACAATCCTAGACGTCAGCTCAGGCACCTGATGAGGAGTCCAAACGCTCATCCTGGACCAAACCCAGCAAAAATGTGATCATGCTGATTAAGCCTGACAGAGGCTTTGGGCTTTGCTCTCCTGTGCTGGGAAAGGAACAATGGGCAGCCCTGCCAAGTCTCCGCGAGGGTGGGCTGCCTAGGGGAAGGGTGCTGGCTGCGCCCTCGGGGGAGCAGGCGTGGTGGAGAAGGCAGGGCTGACCCTGTGGGACTGCATTTCCTACCCCCCCATCAGCCACATCCCAGTGGCGTCACCCATTCCTGGGAGCCCCACCCCGGCTCCTTGTGTTATGGCTGCTGAGGACAGCCGTAGGTGATTCCTGTCATCATGACTCTTTGCTGTTACTTTGACAAGTGGGAGTGCCAAGCTTCCTCTTTGCCAGGCCCTTTCCTGTCCTAGTATCACAGGGGGTCTGGGTTTCCCTCCAAGGCTCAGACAAAGCAGGCTGTCACCAGCCTTCCCTGCGACCTTTCCCCTTTGCTGTCCATCAGGCTGAAATCTTGGGACTCCAGGTACATTCCTCCAGCTCCCTGGGCAGAGGGAGACTCAGTGGTCAAGAACATGGACTCTGGAGCCACACCGCCTAGGCCGAGCCCTGGCCATGTCAACTGCCCAATGGGGGGCCTTGGCAAACTTGCTTGAACACAACACACCTCAGTTCCTTTTTTTTTTTTTTAAATTTGTAAAACTGGGATTATAATTGTACCCAGTGTGGGGAGAATTCAGTGAATGAATGTTTGTAAAGTGCTTAGGACAGTGCATGACATAATGTTTGGTTAGTAGGGACATCTGTATCCCTCTGATGCTCAGACTGGAGACAGACTGGGGGCCTCTAGGACCTGGCTGAGGGTCGTTCATCACCCAAGCCATACCTAAAGGAGCCACCAGGTTGGCACTTGAAGGAGATGAACCCAGGAAGGTAGGCCAGTCCAGGAAAGGGGTATACACTAGTATTCAGAGCCTCATGCTAGTCTCACCCAATGGCCACAGAACAGGCCTCACTAGGTTTCAGAAAAACAGAGGAGTGTGGTCTGCCTGTACGGCTTTATGACGGAATGGAATGACGCGGGGTTTCTTTACGTGGGTGCTGTCGGCATTTGGGGAAGGACAATTCTTCATTGTGCAGGTTGCTCCAAACACTGCAGGATGTTTAGTTGCCTCTGGCCCCCAGGCCCTAAATGCCAGCATGCCTTGCTGTCATTGTGACTAGCAAGAACGCTCCCACACGTTCCAGGTCCTGAGCAGGCAGCAGCAGCTGGAGCGGAATACGGGGATAGTGTGCACCCAGGTGCCCACAGCAGGTGGGAGAGCTTCACTGCCAATGTCGGGTCTCCCAGGCACACCCCCACACCCAGATAGTGATCTGCTGGCAGCGTCCTCTGCTTTGAATACAAAGGACAGTAAGACACAGACACACACCACTCATCTGGTTATCTCATGCTTCCTTGGGAAACTCCAGCCTCGTGTGGTATGGTCCATGCATCAGAACATTCCAGAGGCTAGAAACTCGACTTTCTGGGGGCAGAGATGACCCTCAACCAGGAGTAGGCCAGAGGGAGCTAGAGTAGGCCAGAGAGGGCTACCCTTAGCAAAGAGCCTCTCCTAACCAGGCCCTGCTCTGTTTCCCTTTCTGCTAATGACTTAGGTCTTATAATTCATCCACCTTTCTCCCCTCCTCCCCTTCCTTCTTGGGAAATTGTGGCATTTTATGTCCTGCTGAATGCTCCCCAGCCCCTCTTCCTGTTCCTCCTCACGTTAGGAAGTGCTCAGAGGTCAACCTCCTCATTTTGCAGGCAGTCCTGGAGGGTGACTAGACTAACACAGCTCAAGAATAAGGGCCTCAAAGAACTGAATATAGTCAGTTTCCCCTTGAGAGTCCCATTCAGTCTGAAGAGACCCCCAAACTGGAAGAGCTCCTGTTGGCCCAAGTTCATCGGTCATGACAGTGACCAACCATTCAGGAAGAGATGGCATCCTTCTGTCCTTCCAACTGAGAATCCTTTCTGACTCCTCCTTTCCCGTTCCCACTGCCCAGACTGTGGCCCCGGTGAGCCTCAGCTCGCTGCTGGACAATTCCAGTGCCTCCCGCCAACCTCTAACCCAGCCCTTGGGGCCCTGGTGCCTTCCTGGTGGTGCCATCCACTTGACCTTCCTCAGACAAAGCTTTCCTTGCTTGACAAACCCACAGTGTCTCTCTGCTTCTTGCAAGAAGAACTCACCAGCCTAGCCCCCTTGCCTGTCCGGTCACCTCTTGCCTCCTCACACACCCCTTTATGCTCTCTGGTGACATCAACCACATCCTGCTTCTGCCCAGCCTCTTCTCCATCCTGCATAGCTTTCCTTGCCCCTCCTCCCAAATCCTGTGTTTCTCCAAGGCCTCTTCCCCAGTCATCTGCACAAGGCCTGCTCTGACCCACCCAAGGCCCCTTCTCCGGATCTCCGTTGTGTCCAGAGCTGGACTTCTTGATCTGCACACCCCCGTTGGCCGTGACCTTACGTGTTCTTTAGTTGCTAATGGTTTCTGTCATTTCCCCCAAGCTCTCCAGGGCAAAGATGCCCTTTACTGTGTCTAGAACAGGGCTGGCCTCACCGCAAGTGCCCAAAGGAGTGCCTTGACTTGCCATGGGAATGTGTGCCTGGGATGGAAATCTGGGCTGTTGGTTGGCACTGGGGTTCCCACAGCCTCCATGGGCCACAGGGATCCTTGTCAATGAAAAGAGCTGCCAGGAAGGCAGAGGGGTTCCAGATGAAGCAAGCCAGTCTGTGAGGGTGGCCCAGCGTGGCTTCAGGCTATAGGGGTCCAGGATTCTTTCCTTTACCCCTTGACCTGGGCTTTATTAGCTGGTTGGCTGAGCCTAGAGAGTTCTATGCCAGCTCTGGCTGACCAGACAGAAGGAGCCAGGCATGTGCTGGGCAGACGGAGATGAAAAGAGTGTCTGTGTCCCCAGCTATTAGTCCATTTTGAAACCAAGCTTCTGCCAGCAAGGTGGGGCTGGCCAAACCGGCTCTCCTGCAGGACACACCCTTGCTCTTCCCTACGAGTCCCACACCCAGCACAGTGCCCAATAGAGCCACCTGCAGCAATGTACTCTCCAACGCCCTTCTCATGAGACTATGTGCTCACACACAATTTCGTGGGGTCCCCGTGCCTCCTGGGCCGGGCGAAGCCCCTCCTGAGAAAGGACTTG